TCCAGTTATACCTGGAAATGTCTAACATTCCCCCCATATCATAAACTTTACAAAAAATGGAAATTGCGGTAATAAACCTTTGCCAAAGCAGCTCTGTAAGGCTGTTAGCGATTAAAGGTTTCTGTAGCTGAACAACCTCCGCACTTTTAACTGATTCATCAACTAATTTGCCAGTTCAAATAAATGTTACATTATCTTCATACAGGTAATCATCTAGTAATAATTTATATTTCAACAGGTTTGGGTTCTTTTTTCACTGGTAGATTTAAGTCATGGGTAGGCAAACTAAGGCCCAGGAGCCGGAGCCGGCCCAATCGCCTTCTCAATCCAGCCTGCGGACGGTCTGGGAATCAGCGTGTTTTTACATGAGTAGAATGTGCCCTTTTACGTCAAATGCATCTCTGGGTTATTTGTGGGGCCTGCCTGCTGTTTTTACATGAGTAGAATGTGTCCTTTTACAATGGTACCTCGGGTTAAGTACTTAATTCGTTCCAGAGGTCTGAAACTGTCCTTAACCTGAAGCACCACTTTAGCTAATGGGGCCTCCTGCTGCTGCCGCGCTGCTGGAACACAATTTCTGTTCTCATCCTGAAGCAAAGTTCTTAACCCGAGGTACTATTTCTGGGTTAGCGGAGTCTGTAACCTGAAGCGTATGTAACCTGAAACGTATGTAACCCGAGGTACCACTGTATTTAAAATGCATCTCTGGGTTATTTGTGAGGCATAGGAATTCGTTCATTTTTTTTTTTTTTTTCAAAATATAGTCCAGCCCACCACAAAGTCTGAGGGACAGTGGACCAGCTCCCTGCTGAAAAAGTTTGCTGAACCCTGATTTAAGTGATCTGGGGGCATCTTTGCTTTGTTTGGGGAAATGGTCTTGAAGGGAGAAAAAATAATATCCCCCTGTGAGAAGGCAGGCCATTCAAATCCTTATGGAAATCTCTTTGCAAGGAAAACACCAATTAGGTGCTGACACCTTGAACCTCTGTTTTATGCAAGCAAAACCAATGCATCCTACGAAGCCATAAGTTGTTTGTTTGTTTTCAGGGTGGCAATATCATGCCAGCTGATTGCTTCTGAGACCTGTGCTGCCCACTCATTAACTAGTTTTAGCCAATTAATTATCAACCTAAATGAATTGATCTTACATTATGTTGAAAATAAATATGCGTATTCCACCTCAGTAGCTTTCTGACAATATTGTCAGCAGTGTGAAATTCTAACCTGTATTCTCAGAGGCGAAACCTACCCACTCCTCTCCGAGAGGAAAGGCTACCGTTCAAATGTTTGTTTTCATTCCCTACTGTGGCAATGCACCAGAACGAAATAAATAAAAATAAGCATGTGTGCCCTTATTTTGTGGACAAACTCCTTCAGCTTGTTTCATTCTTTGAAACGGATACATTTGTTAGGGCTGCCATACGTCTGGATCAGGGGTCAGCAAACTTTTTCAGCAGGGGGCCAGTCCACTGTCCCTCAGACCTTGTGGGGGGGCAGACTATATTTTGAAAATAAAAAAATGAACAAATTCCTATGCCCCACAAACAACCCAGAGATGCATTTTAAATAAAAGCACACATTCTACTCATGTGTTAAAGCTCTGGTTTTTCCAGTAGTGATGTATGGAACTGAGAGCTGGACCATAAAGAAGGCTGATCACCGAAGAATTGATGCTTTTGAATTCTGGTGCTGGAGGAGACTCTTGAGAGTCCCATGGACTGCAAGAAGATCAAACCGATCCATTCTTAAGGAAATCAGCCCTGAGTGCTCACTGGAAGGACAGATCCTGAAGCTGAGGCTCCAATACTTTGGCCACCTCATGAGAATAGAAGACTCCCTGGAAAAGACTCTGATGTTGGGAAAGATGGCGGGCACAAGGAGAAGGGGACAACAGAGGACGAGATGGTTGGACAGTGTTCTTGAAGCTACCAGCATGAGTTTGACCAAACTGCGGGAGGCAGTGGAAGACAGGAGTGCCTCGCGTGCTCTGGTCCATGGGGTCATGAAGAGTCGGAGACGACTAAACGACTAAACAACAACAACTACTCATGTGAAAACACCGGCCAGGCCCCACAAATAACCCAGAGATGCATTTTAAATAAAAGCACACATTCTACTCATGTAAAAACACTCTGATTCCCAGACCATCCGCGGGCCAGATTTAGAAGGCAATTGGGCCGGATCTGGCCCCCAGGCCTTAGTTGGCCTACCCATGGTCTGGATTTTCCCGGACATTAAGGAGGAATTGACGTCCGGGGAGAAATTCCAAAGTCCGGCGCAAGTACAGAAAGTTGGAATCTTAAGTGGGGAAAGTGCTTTAGGAAAACCCCACAGATTAAATGATATATAATGAGTTTTTAAAATGTTTAAAATAACCTTTTCTTTAAAAAAAAACAACCCCGAAGCCTTCCTTTTAGGAATACTAGGTGCCAAAATCCCAAGGGAGCGAAAAGTGACCACGGCTGCGCGGATGTTACTGGAAAGATGATAAAGTCCCTACCAGAGAAGAATGGAAGATCAAGTTGATGGATTATGCCGAAATGACTAAAATGACTGGAAGAATCAGAAATCAGGAAGACCAAAATTTGAATAAGGAATGGGGAAAATTTAAAATTTATCTTAAAGACCATTGTAAACATTTAAAATCGTTAGTAGGGTTGAAATAACACTTGTGGTTTAATGGTGGATTTTGGACACAATGGAGAGGTAAAAGTTTTGGATTGTTATAAAAGATGCAGGAGGAAATAATTAACAATAGGACCCACAAAAGGGAGGGGGGAAATCCAGGAGATCCTTTGGAATCTAGTTTCTATGTTGTATGTTGGATATGTGACTGAAAAACCAAATAAATAAATTTATATATAATAAAAGGAAAACCCCTAAAGTTGTTGAGCTTTCTTTAGACAAACCCCAAAGTTGTTGAGCTCTTTAAAAAAACAACAAAAAACTCCAAAAGAACCGGGAAATTCCGGATGTACGGCAACCCTAGGACCAGATGACATCAGCACTTTTCCCAATTGAGATTGCCAGCAACTGGTATTCAGAGGGAGGAGTTTGCTAATTTGGATATTTATTTTGCTCTATACCAGGGGTAGGCAACCTAAGGCCCAGGGGCCGGATGCGGCCCAATCGCCTTCTCAATCCGGCCCGTGAATGGTCTGGGAATCAGCGTGTTTTCACATGAGTGGGATGTGTGCTTTTATTTAAAATGCATCTCTGGGTTATTTGTGGGGCATAGGAATTCCTTCATCACCCCCCCCCAAAAAAAATATAGTGTGGTCCATCACATGGTCTGAGGGACGGTGGACCAGCCCCCGGCTGAAAAAGGTTGCTGACCCCTGCTCTGTACTATATCCTCATAGTCTACACAGATGTGTCTGCCTGTGGCCTTGTATAGGTCCAGTATACCTGAAGGAGCATCTCCACCCCCATCGTTCTGCCCGGACGCTGAGGTCCAGTGCCGAGGGCCTTCTGGCGGTTCCCTCATTGCGAGAAGCAAAGCTACAGGGAACCAGGCAGAGGGCCTTCTCGGTAGTGGCGCCCGCCCTGTGGAACACCCTCCCAGCAGATGTCAAAGCGATAAACAACTACCTGACATTCAGAAGACATCTTAAGGCAGCCCTGTTCAGGGAAGTTTTTAACGTGTGATATTTTACTGTATTTTTGGTTTCTATGGAAGCCGCCCAGAGTGGCTGGGGAGGCCCAGCCAGATGGGCGGGGTATAAATAATAAATTATTATTATTATTATTATTGTACAGGCAACTCTCCCACACTGCAAATGAGGACAACGTCCCACCTAAACCAAATCTGCTGCAGCGAACTTGATGGAGACTGCTGCTCTTTCGGAAGGTGGGGAGAGGGTGTAATATTGCTGAAATCAATTTTCCCCTTTGAGTGCCATGAAAGGGAAGAAACTCAAGAATACTGGAAATTAAGCCCCCCTACCCCCTCCCCTTGTCCCAGCTCAACATCTTTCTTAAAGTAAATCTCTAGAGGAAGGTCTTTTGAGTATTTTAAGGATTGGGTTCCAAAAAAAAGAGAAGAAGACGAAGAAGAAAAGTCAGCCTTGGTATTGGATAATAAAAGTTCAAAGGCTCCTGTCTTTAGTATGGTAAATAGATCATGCAGAAGAGAGCAGGGTGATAATCACCCTTCCTTGGAGAACAAGGCAGTTTGGGAGGGAAAAGGAGGCGGGGAAGGCGACTGGGGTGGAATTTCATGATCAAACATGTTCCCATCGTGATATCTCTCTGACCCCAGCTCCTCTTTCTTCCTCTTCCTGTTCGTAAGCGCATTTCATTTGAAGTAAGCCCCATTGATTTTCAATTATCATTTAATTACTTATATAGTGCCAGCGCCCGCCCTCCCTGGACTGACATTGGCAGAGAAAGGGCAGGTCTCTGCTCCAAGGAGCCTACAATATTAATCTTGGCAAGTTTAAGGAAAAAGGGGATGGGAAGGAGGGAAGGGAGAGGAGAGGCAAACTAAGGATTGATAGGGGCAGATGAAGTCACTGGCTGGGTCACCCTCACACCATACATTCAAAGCCTGTTTAAAAAGCATGGCTTCCCTGCAAAGACTCCTGGGAAGTTTAGTTTGTGAGGGGTGCTGGGAATGCTCTGTGAGGGGAAAACTACATTTCCCAGGATTCTTTTGGGGGGGAGCCATGTGTTTTTAAATGTAGGGTGTGGATATAGTTGTGGCCAAGGGCTGAGGGGTTAAGCCAGGCATAGGCAAACTCGGCCCTCCAGGTGTTTTGGCACTACAACTCCCATCATCCCTGACCACTAGTCCTGTGAGCTAGGGATGATGGGAGTTGTAGTCCCAAAACATCTGGCGGGCTGAGTTTGCCTATGCCTGGGTTAAGCCAAGGATGGGAAGCCTGCAGTTTGGATATTATTGAGCTACAATAGGCCATGTTCTCTGGGGTGGATGGGAGATAGATTCTAGCAGCATCTAGAGCCCCACAGATTTCCCCATCCCTGGCTCTATCCCCGCGGCAGAATGCCGCAGCGAGACTCCTTATGGGGTCCTCGCTGCAGGATCACATTCACCCAGTGCTATACCAGCTGCACTGGCTCCCGGTGGAGTACAGGATCAGGTTTAAGGTGCTGGTTTTAACCAGCCCTATAAGGCCTAGGACCCTCATACCTATGGGACCGCCTCTCCTGGTATGTCCCACGGAGGACCTTACGGTCTTCAAATAAAAACATCTTGGAGGTCCCAGGCCACAGGGAGGTTAGGCTGGCCTCAACCAGAGCAAGGGCTTTTTCGGCTGTGGCCCCGATCTGGTGGAACGCTCTGTCACAAGAGATTAGGGCCCTGTGGGACTTGACATCTTTCCGCAGGGCCAGCAAGACAGAGCTGTTCCACCAGGCCTTTGGCCAAGGCACAGTCTGACTTCTGTAATCCTCATAGAACTCTAGCCCAATGGTTGCCATTAATTTGACTCTTGATTTTAGAATGAATTGATTTTAGAATGTATTTCAATTAAATGATTATGATTTTATGTAAAGTGTGTTATTTTTACAGTTGTTAGCCGTTCTGAGCCCGGCTTCGGCTGGGGAGGGTGGGATATATATATATATATATATATATATATATATATATATTATTAGACACACAGCACCTGGAAGAGGTTACTTTTGAGGAACTACTTTCAGGGCTCTGGCCTGTGCCAAAGGGCAGAATGCAACTTAAACAGGAAATATTTAAACATTAGAAATATTTGAAGGGGGAAAGGTGCACTGTGTAGGTGTTCTCGGAGAGCCATAGAATCATAGAAAAGAATCGCAGAATTGTAGAGTTGGAAGGGGTCATGAGGGTCATCTAGCCCAACCCCCTGCAAAGCAGGAATCTTTCACCCGACATGGGGCTGAAACCCACGGCCCCGAGATTAAGAGTCTCACGCTCTAGCAACTTAGCTGTCCCTCCTTGGTTGTAGGAACACCTCTCTGTGGTTTGCAAAAACAGAAACTGAAACATTACCATTCTCTATTTAAAAAAACAAAAACAGTTTAAAGCAGGCCTTGAAAAAGTATCCAAAAGATTGTTGAAATCAACAATAGCTAAGAAGAAATAAAACACCTGCAATGTTTACATGTCTAGATAGGCTTGGCTAAATGGAAATGCTTGGATCATAGAGTTGGGGACATCTGGCCAGAAAGAGAAGGCCCCACTGTAGGGACCCCATAGCTCTCCAGATGTTTCATGCCTACAAGCAGGGGCTGATGGGAATTTGGAGTCTATCAGCAGCAGAAGAAGAAGAGTTTGGATTTGATTTCCCGCTTTATCACTACCCGTAGGAGTCTCAAAGCGGCTAACATTCTCCTTTCCCTTCCTCCCCCACAACAAACACTGTGAGGTGAGTGGGGCTGAGAGACTTCAAAGAAGTGTGACTAGCCCAAGGTCACCCAGCAGCTGCATGTGGAGGAGCGGAGACGCGAACCCGGTTCACCAGATTACGAGTCCACCGCTCTTAACCACTACACCACACTGGTTCTCTGCATCTGCAGGACCACAGACTCCCTATTCTGGGGCATCCAGGACTGAGAGGAAGCAAAGGAGAAAGAATAGAAACCTTTGAAGGAGCTGGAGATCTAGGGATCCCATGGGAGCAACAACGGGAAATGGGCAGTCTTGAGAAGGGAGGCAGCCGACTCAGGGTAGTGCAGATGAAGGAGTGAAGGTCACAGGCAGGAATTTATCAAGTCACCCGAGAGCTGAAAGACAAGAAGAGGAGGTGCCACGGAGGATGAGTGAGTCACATACACAATAATAGTAATAGGAAGAAGAAGAAGAAGAAGAAGAAGAAGAAGAAGAAGAAGAAGAAGAAGAAGGCAGCTCCAAATGGAATATTAAAAATAGAATCAAACAATAAGTAAGTAAGGTAAAACTGGGAGTTGCACGGCAGCGCTGGCCATTGTGGTGCTCTACAGAAGCTGTAGGACTCCAACTCCCATCAGCCCCAGCCAGCATGACCACTGGTCAGCGATGATGGGAGTTGTAGTCCAACAACCTCTGGAGGTTGGCTGCTACTGCTGTTCTTCTGCAAGTAAACAAAGCAGTCATTGCTGGAGGAGATGTACTCACCCACATCCCACAAAGCCATTTAGCTTTTTGTTGTTGTTGTTGTTGACTGACAGAACTAATAAAGGAGATTCTTCTTCACCAACTCAGCTATCAGGAAAAGGACCTGCCTCCTACTAAAAGATTGCTCATCTAGTGACGAAGATAAAGCAAGATCCTAATGTCTCGGAGCCAGCTATTGTCGTCATCCTCAGCACCAGCAACTATTAATAGGGAGCCAAATTTGAATTTGCAGTTAAGCGTTTCCATTTACTCATTGCGCCAACTCAGGCATGAAAGCCCTAAAGAAAGCATGGCATTTGGGGGGAGTACTTAAGGTACTTGGGGGGCACCTGGCGCTGTGGGTTAAACCACTGAGCCTAGGACTTGCCAATCAGAAGGTCAGCGGTTTGAATCCCCACAACAGGGTGAGCTCCCGTTGCTCGGTCCCTGCTCCTGGCAACCTAGCAGTTCGAAAGCACGTCAAAGTGCAAGTAGATAAATAGGTACCGCTCCGGCGGGAAGGTAAACAGCGTTTCCATGCGCTGCTCTGGTTTGCCAGAAGCGGCTTAGTCATGCTGGCCACATGACCCAGAAGCTGTACACCGGCTCCCTTGGCCAAGAAAGCGAGATGAGCGCCGCAACCCCAGAGTTGGCCACGACTGGACCTGATGGTCAGGGATCCCTTTACCTTTACCTATACCAATGGACTTTGGGACAGACGTCCTTTCCTCCACTTCTCAATTGAGTGAGGGGGGGCCCCCTCAAATGCACATGCAGGGGCCCAAAGTTTGCCTGGCAAACAACCATAGCACAGTGAAAGCTCCTCCAGAAACCTCTTTCTTGAACATTCATATTGATTTGTTTGCTGAATGCTTCCGGGCAGAGGAATGTCCAGTCATTATTGAGCATTTGTTCTGATTTTGGGCAGGCGGGGGAGCAGTTTGACAATGACAATTGTGCCTGGGGCGACAGAGCACTTTCATACACAATAATTGCCCAAACCCATATTTCTGGCATGGATTTCAATCCTTCTTGCAAAATCCTGGCGATTTGGAGTCAACCTGGCTCCTTGGTGTAGTAGTAAATCCCGAAGCGCAAGCGTTCTTCCTGACAATCCCTACAGCCGCGTACCCCCTTCTAAGACTATGCAACAAAAATGAATTGTTGACCAACGCAGACGTTACAGCTTCGATACTAAGCCAGCTGTATCTCACCCCAGCCTGCACTTTGCTTAACATGCAGCCTGATGGAGAGTTATGGCAAAGTCAAAAACTTACTTGCTGTTTTATGACATTTGGGCTGGTTGCACGCAGAGGAATGTAGGAAGCTCCTTTGTATAAGGGCGCTTCCAGGCAGCGGTGACCTGAGCATTCAACATGCTATGTTTGCAGGGAGAAACGAAGGTGCTGGGCATTTCATAGGCATTCGTTCAGATTAGCTTGCAGGCCAGCAGGTTTTGTTGTGCAATCAGCTATAATTGCTGGAATGGAATTGGGTCCCACCAAAAATGGTGATAGTCTGGAAGCACCCCATAGACAATTGGCTCATCTGGCTCAGTCCAGTATACCTGAAGGAGCGTCTCCACCCCCATCATTCTACCCAGACACTGAGGTCCAGTGCCGAGGGCCTTCTGGCAGTTCCCTCACTGCGAGAAGCCAAGTTTCAGGGAACCAGGCAGAGGGCCTTCTTGGTGGTGGCACCCGCCCTGTGGAACGCCCCCACCACCAGATGTCAAAGAGAACAACAACTATCTGGCTTTTAGAAGACATCTGAAGGCAGCCCTGTTTAGGGAAGCTTTTAATGTTTGATGCATTACTGTATTTAAATATTTTGTTGGAAGCTGCCCAGAGTGGCTGGGGAAGCCCAGCCAGATGGGTGGGGTATAAATAACTTATTATTATTATTATTATTATTATTATTATTATTATGGCAGGGGGATGTAGAATGTCTGGGCATGCAGGGTCAATCTCCAGCATCTCTGGATGGGGCTGGGAGAGACTCCCGGTCTGAAATTCCAGAGAGCTGCTGCCAGCTAGGGCAGGCGATAATGAGGCAGATGAACCATTATCTGGCTCAGTCTAAGGCAGTAGTGTGAAGAGAATCCCATGGACTGCAAGAAGATCAAACCTCTCCATTCTTAAGGAAATCAGCCCTGAGTGCTCACTGGAAGGACAGATCCTGAAGCTGAGGCTCCAATACTTTGGCCACCTCATGAGAAGAGAAGACTCCCTGGAAAAGACCCTGATGTTGGGAAAGATGGAGGGCACAAGGAGAAGGGGACGACAGAGGACAAGATGGTGGGACAGTGTTCTCGAAGATACCAGCATGAGTTTGACCAAACTGCGGGAGGCAGTGGAAAACAGGAGTGCCTGGCGTGCTCTGGTCCAGGGGGTCAAAAAGAGTCGGATGCGACTAAACAACTAAACAACAACAACAAGGCAGCTTTTGATGATGATAATAATAATAACAACATAATAAATGTTTATTTATATCCCGCCCTCCCCAGCCGAAGCCAGGCTCAGAGCGGCTAACAACAGTAAAACTAACACAGTTTACATAAAATCACAATCAGATAATTGAAATACATTCTAAAATCAATTCATTTTAAAATCAATTCAGAATCAAATTAATGGCAACCATTGGGCTAGCGTTCTATGAGGATTACCAAAGGAGGGGGTCAGACTGTGCCTTGGCCAAAGGCCTGGTGGAACAGCTCTGTCTTGCAGGCCCTGCGGGAAGATGTCAAGTCCCGCAGGGCCCTAGCCTCTTGTGGCAGAGCGTTCCACCAGATCGGGGCCACGGCCGAAAAAGCCCTGGCTCTGGTTGAGGCCAGCCTTACCTCCCTGTGGCCCGGGATCTCCAAGATGTTTTTGTTTGAAGACCGTAAGGTCCTCCGTGGGACATACCAGGAGAGGCAGTCCCGTAGGTACAAGGGTCCTAGGCCGTATAGGGCTTTAAAGGTTTAAACCAGCACCTTAAATGATGATAAAAATAATAACAAGGATGCCACTGTTAGGATATTTCCGTTCCACCTTAAAAGGGAGCAGGCTTTGTGAGTCAGAGTCTGCGTATTTCCTGTTCACAGGATGTTTATGTTTGCTGTTGCTTTCGTTTTCTCTCTGTGTGTCGTAGACACTAAAGCAGGCAGTCATGTTTTTCTGTGTTCTGATCAACGCTGAATAAACTTGTAAATAATGCTCTCCTGAGTGCAACTTTTGGCTGTGCATTATCTGCTGATAGAGTGTGCATGAGCTCTGGAATGTGGCCAGATATTTTCTAGAAACTCATGTCGCTAATTGTTGATACTGCGTGACTACGGGAGGTCGATGGATCGTCCGGCAGCCGGCTTGGGGGCCATGATGGACTTTATCTCCCTGACAGTATCCCAACAGCCACATGTTGAAGGAAGTGATGCACATTACCATCTAAAGAAAGCCACCCCCACCCCAGCAAAAAAACTCCTAACCATTAAGCCCAGAGTCTAAAATTATTTAACCAAAGCACCAACAGCTGGGCATCATCCATTGCCCCAAGCCCAGGACTCACAACACCTGGATAGCTCAGCTGGCTAGAGCATGGTGCTGAAATTGCCAAGGTTGCAGGACTAGATGATCCTCAGGGTTGGACTAGATGATCCTCAGGGTCCCTTCCAACTCTGAAATTCTATGATTCCATCTGTAAGGCAATTGGGTGGGGGTTGAGCAGGCTGTGCAAGATTGTCCTTCCATCTTTTCACTGAACTATTCCACAGAAGCTTCCTAGGAATGCTTGAAAACCACCACCTTGCTCAAAGATTTCAGCATCAGATTTGGAGTCAAATCTCACTCTTTAACTTTGGTAGGAGAAAAAAGAAAGAAA